TTTTTATACTTGTTCAGATTGAACCATGTACATTCCCACATAAATACCGAGCATTAATGAAAAGAATTGCACAGGGCGGAAACCGGGCACACAAGATTGTCTTGGTCCTGACAATTATACTTAATGAGTTCTTAAAGAAAAGGACAAGAAATTGTGCTTGAGTAGAGAAAATTGTCATGTTTCAAAAGTCAAAGAGTCTCCCTCGCATGGACTATGGAAATAACAATTGAAATGAAAAATAACGGCTGAGCGGCACAAATGCTCCCGTCCGTCAGTGGGGCAGGTCACTTCGTCCTCTGCACGTTAAATGATGTCTGGGGACGGGGCAGCAGCACATTCTGATAATGATGACATTTTCCATAACTATAAAAATCTGCTGCACCAGGAAAATTTTGTGCAAAATGCAAATTTCTATTGGGCAAGGGGGATGAGTAATGTGACCACCCTGAGTAATGAACATGAATGCAAGGAAATACTTTCTGGCACGAGGCTGCATGCCGTTCATCTTGCAGACCGAGGACTGGTGGCCAAAACGCTGCTTGGCACAGCCACCCTTTCAGTCTCGGCTTTTGAGCAGAGATTGCAAAAAGGGGAAATTTCGTTTCCCTGGGTCACCCAACAGGCTACCGGCAGAGTTTTGACCAGAAGTTGGTGACCAATTCTCCACCTCATTGCCTTTTCTTTTCCTTTTTTTAGAAAAAAAATTTTTTTTTAATTTTATATTGATTTGCTTACAAAGTTCGTGTACATTGTGTTTCACACTATCCTTTGTTCACGTTGACATCAACTTTTCATCACTTAGGAAAGGAACCATAGATTCACTGGAGTATAGACCAAAGAGTTATGGTTTCATCCAAAAAAATGAAAAGGTTATTTACTCCCTGGAGGGATACCATCAAGGAGTGCATGAGTCACTTAGTAGTCGAGATTGCCAATGAAGAAGCTCAATCTCTTTCTCCAATATATATTTAATAAGCAAGATTTACTAGATATTGATGCCGTTACAAAGATAGAGCAGTGTTGAGTCTTGAGAGTCTTGGGTCATGGCATTTGCAGATGGCAAAGAATTTAAAGAACCTTTGACTGTGTCTGTGCAGTTGCCACTGCAGCTCCTCGCTGTGGAGGGAACGGAGGCACTGGTCGGTTAGAAACCTTACCTGAAGGTACATTGAAAGCACTGAGAGCATCTGGGCCTTTAATCTCTGGTCCGCTTGGCTTTAAAAGAAATTTGCTTTCCCTTAATCATTATAAAGCACACAGTTTTGGAGTGGACAAATGGAGCACTTACCAAGGCTAATACTACACTTTTATTTCCAACACCCCAAAGTGGGTGGTAGGCCACTGATTTTACCCTTAAAATGTTCCCCATCCCTTCACCCCATTTTAAGAAAAGCCATAGGAAAATTAAGATTTCTAAGATAAAAGATTATTAATTGCTGTATAAAAGGATTCTTTTCATTAGGAAAAAAAATCATCTTTAGCTTAGGATGTCTTTCCATATCTTTTTTTATTTAGTTTTTTTTAAAAAAAATCACTGAAACAACATTTTCAGAATTTGTGTTGGTATAAAGTAAGGTGCACTTGTAAGTGTTGTCACCCACTATCAGAATGACAGATTGAGACAGGATGCACTGGTCACCTTCCCAGAGAAACAAGACATTAAAGAGATGTCATTAATGTGCCTCCACCTTGGTTCTCATTTGAGAAGTGGCTCGTGGAAAGCCCAACTCCTTCTTGGACGATCCGTGCTGTCAGAAATGATTATACGGACTTAGCATGGAGACCCTGCGGCAGCTCCCCCGCCGTTCAGGAGGGGAGCGTGTGGGACAGACTTCCAGAGCCTCCAGAGCCTGGTGTTTGTGGAGCAATCGACCCCACAGACCTGCTGTCTTAAACTCACATCGTCTTGTTTTGTTTTCACTTTTGGTGTTTGATGAGACAAGATTCAAAAGCTCGATGATCATATAACACAATGCAGACTTGTGGCTCCTCAGAAAACAATTAGATCAAGCTCCTCTGAGCTGGGGGTGGGGGGTGGGGGTGTGTCTCTGGGAGACACAAATGGTTGGCAGTTCAAGTTCATGCAGTGGTCCTCGGGCAGAAAGGACAGCTTCTTGGTCCCTGTAAACCTGGTAAACAAGAAAACCCACGGAGCACGGTCCCACCCTGAGGCACACAGCGTTTTCATGAGCTGAAGGATGCATTAAGTGCTTCCTAGCCTGCCTGTCCTTCCTTTCGCTCTTTCTGAGCTCATGTTCTTCATGGTAACAGTTGGATGAAGGTCCTTATGTCCTGCTTCCCTCACAGTTCTCACCCAAGCGTCGTGAGTGCAGGACCATGGGTGTCTTTGGAATGGGAAGGTCTCCCAGTCATCAACGAATGCCATGTTGAAAGGAGTGAGTGACTCGCTGCCTCCCTTATCATCCACGGGGCGGGGATCAGACCCTGGGGGCTGGGTTCGGTTCATCTCGTCTACTCTGTGAGAGGGGATTTGCCGCTGGCTCCACAGGAAGCTGGGACTTGACTCTGACCATCTCTCTCCTCGCAGTGACACAGCTCTTGTGATTGCCTCAAACAACAGTCTAGTGAGTGACTTCCTTGCATCCTTTTCACCCCCCCCCCTTCTGCTAGCTGCCGGCTGAGCTCGCTGAACTCCGCAGTTTATGGACGCAGCGAAAGGGCCTCAGATGTACGCGAAGTACCTGGAGAGGCAGGTCTTGTGCCAGATTTTCCTGAGAATAACCCTCAGATCAGGAAGTTCAGATGAAAACCCTTGAGGTGAGACCCTATTTAGTGGCACGTGGAGATTTACTAACGTGGGTTCGGATGTGTGGGATGCCTGACATGGCTGCCACCTCTTTGAAGTACGAAATGTCATCTGAATGTCAACACATCAAAGTGAAACCCAAAGAGCTCAGCTGTACTACTTGAAATTGCACAAAATTACAGCAAATGCAGGGATGCAATTTTATTGAAATATAGCACTGTGTGTGAACCTCTTCAAGTCGCCACTCTGGCAGGTGAGGAGAGAGGAGAGGGGTGTGTGGGCTGGGGGGCTGGGGGCCGACAGGGCCCTGCTCTCCCTCGTGCCGGGGGCGCTGGCGTGTTACATGGGGATTTGATCCGTACTCTGCTGACTTACTCAACATGGAGGCTGATTTAATTTGACAGCAGAGTAACACCAAGCCCCCAGAATAAAATTACTGAGATGTGAAACGGCGTCAAAACTCCAATTAGTTTTATCTCCTTGAAGCTTTGGGAGGAAATCTGCAATGTTGGTGTGGCGGTGAGCAGGCATCAGTTTAAGCTGCAGCGATGACGGAAACCGAACCCTCTAATGGGGGCTGCTCAGAGCACAATGTGACAAAAAGAGTCAGAGGAAAAGAAGTGAGTTTCCCCTAAAATAAAATGAGTCATAACTGAGAGGCTGTTTTGCTAACTTTTAGCACAATGTTCCTTCAGCAGAGCTAGAAGAATCGGAGTTCAGGAGGTCTCCACTGAAAAGGGACCAGGCAGAAGCACAGAACGGACTGTTCATGTCATTTAAACCCCAAAGAGGAGCACATTTAAGAAGAATCAATATTTCATCAGATCACAGGCATTTTGGAATATATTTACAATGTCCACGCAGGAGAAAATGATTCTGACAAAATTCTGAACTTCCTTTCTAGAATATGCAGAAGTATCTTCTCCCTCACATTAACTGCATTACCCATAACACAACCATACTCTTCCTACCTCTTCCTTGTGATCCCCATTTCCATAAAAACTTCTTTCCTCCCCTTCCTGCCTCGTAAGCCCCACCCCCAGGCAAAGGTGGCCCTTGGCCTTGCGTTGGTTATTCCATACTGATTTATTCTAAGAACTGGGTGCCTTGTTCACCGTCTACACTTGGTTTTCTGTTTGGCTGAAAGTTGAGCCACAGAGAAGAATTTTGTTCCAGGTTTGAAGGGTTCTGAAGGGCCATCATCTCAGGGGTCCACACTCTCTAACAGACCAGTCAGGATAGCCATTTTCACGTGCCTGGGCTTGTTCCACCCATCACACTCACTCTGTCTGGAACTTTCCCCTGCGGTCCTTGTTGGAGTGGTCGGTCGTTCAGCTGTGGTAGTCGGGCACCATCCTGTACTTCTGGCCTCAGGGTCATCAAAGTCGAAATTCTTGTGGTCTGTTAGTCCTAGGTGTTCATTGTCCTGGTCCATCTTGGCTTTTCTTTCCTATTCTTTATTCCAGACAGGGAGAGACCAATAGTTGTACTTGGAGGGCTGCTCATAAGTTTTTAAGGCCCCAGATGTTGTTAACCAAAGTATACTGTAGAACATTGTCTTTGTGTCTTATGGTATGTTAATTGACTGGTGTCTCCCAAGACTGTGATTTCAAGACCCCAGGACCAGCAACTTATACCTTTGGGGTGTTTGGTTGTGATTAAGAGGTTTACATAGTTTTACTCTCTGTTGGCACCCAGAAGTTATCTTGATACCCACTTCATATCCTACGTCCTTTTCAAGTGACTTCTACCATTCCCAAGTTCCTGTACCATCTTGGAAGTAGACACTCTACTTGTTAATGGAGGAAGTCATTGACCTTGACTCTATGAAGTTCATGTGGAGATGTGTATAAGTTAAGGTGTAGATTGTGGTTCTCTTTGTTGAAGTCACTTCATTAGAGAAGCAGACATTGGGTCCAATGCAGAAGGAGAAAAGGATAAAGCTGGAGTCAAGGTGTAGGTGTTGTGCGCATCAAATGTCCCAACACTCTCCTTCGCAGCCTTCTCCTACCCAGGACCTTGTTTGTGGACAGGACCTCGTCCTGTCCAGCATGCCCAGGACCAGTGCTGGGAAGACCATGGCTGCGTTGAGGCCTTACAGCTGCTTGGGCTTGGCTTGGAAAGGTCTCCAAATGGCTCTTTATCTTCAGGTGATTCATCAACAGTGTTTACTTCTCTGACTTGAGAAGCAGCAACAGTCTTGCCTGGTGAACACCATCTTTTACCGGAAGCTTCATATTTCTTCTATAACTAACCTATCTTCATCATCACTGCTGGTGTCACTCAACTCCACTTGAGTCTGCTTTCTCACTCCTTCCAAACCTCTCTTCTTGGTGGTTTTAGAAGGAGCTCCGAGGATGCCTGGAGGCCTCTCTGGGCTGGCAGAACCCAGACAGTCCTTCGAAGTGGCAGATCCAGCTCCCTGATCTTTCTTATTCCCATTTCCCCCACACTCACACTGACCCCAGGAGGGAAGAAACGTCTCATGTCTCCCTTCCACGTGGTGTGAATTGTTGGGACTTGAAGCTGGTATTTCAAGCAGAGTGTTCTCAGTTGACTCCAGGGGGAGGGCATCGGAAGGCTTCTCTGGCAAGAGGCATGGTGCTGTGCCTCCTACCACAGCCTTCATGTGTATGGGGCTCTGTGCTTGAGTCTCTTGGCTAGCCCAGCCGTGGTGGGGGGGCTCTGCACTGGGAATGCCCAGGGTCGTGGAGACCACTCTTGACCCTAGAGAAGTACAAATGGCTGCCCCAGAGGTAGCAATGTCATGGCACAGAAAGGTTCCTGTGGCCTCAAAGGGGGAGAGCTCCCGAGCTTCTGCAGAAAAGCCCAGGTTGTGGTCTATCGAGGTTCGCTCTGTGCGGAGCAGTCGCTGAGTCTCAAGCAATCCGGGGTCAAGACCTGCCCCACAAGGTGTGTGGTGGTCCTTACCCACCACCAGACAGGAGTGAGACTGCAGGGGGGACCCCGCCCCAGTGACTGGACTCCGGGGAAAACAATTACTGCCTTCGCCGGCAGGTGGAGAACTATCCTGCAGCAGAGTGCAAAGAAAAAGAAATGGGGAAGAAAAGGTTAACAGGTATTTAAAAAAACGTGGTCAGAAACACAGTCTTTGCTGAAAACAAGATCTTGGGTCCTAATGACTATTTACCGTGTGTGAACGTCAATATGATGTTCTCAATAAATTTCCATTAATGACTAATTGATGCATTAACCCAAGTGAATCTCTGGTTGCTGCACGTAGACTGCTGTGAGTGTGAGGTGTTTTTATCTGGCTTTGTTAAAAGCAAACCATCAATTACTCACCCCACTCTGAGCACCTTATATTAAGCCACCACAGTCCATGAGGGGCATGTGCTATTTTATATTATCATGTGTATTTGAGTTGTTTTCCCCCCCAATTAGCAGTTTTCAAAGTATGGTCTAAATCAGTATTTTAGTATTTTTCAACATGTAGCCCCACACTCTGCCAGGGGGTGACAAAAAAAAAACAAAACAAAACAGTGGCTCCTGGACCTCCCCTTGAAGGCTTCTTTGAATGAAGCAACACCCAACAACCACAATCCAAACCCCTCTGCCACTTAGTTCCACGTCGTGGTGACCCTGGGTCGCGGGCTGGAGCCCCTCCACAGCAGCAGAGTGTCCATCCTCCTCTCTCAGAGCGGCTGCTAAGTTTGAACCACCAGTCTTCTGGTCAGCAGCCTGACACGTAGTACTTCGCCTGACACGCAGTGCTTCCAGGATGTAGAGTTTAACTGAAGTAGTAAAGAGACCTGCCTTGGGAACTGAGCCCTTTCAAGAACTAGCACAAAACATATGAGAACCAGAAATAAGGGAAGCAATTTATTGTTGTTCCAGGTCTTCCAAGTTCTCCCCTTTGTCAGGGAGCAGTCTTACCACTTTGCTACTGTTCATTTTAGTGGAAAATATTGTCATTCTTCTTCTCCGATAGGTTTTCACTTCACATAGGCTCTGGCTTTCACAGGTTTTACTATAATCAAAATGCATTGCCATCTAGTCAATTCCAACTCAGCAGAGCTGCCTCACGGGATTGGCAGGGCTACATAGCCTTCCCGAAGGAGCTCTAGTGGTTTAGTGGTAAGGAATTGCACTCCCAACACGAAGGTATGCAGTTCAAATCCACCAGCTGCTCCATGGGAGAAAGATTTGAAATCTTCTCCTGATTTACTGCCTCTGAAAAGCCACTGGAGGATCAGCTGTGGGTTAGTTCCAACCTGACGGTACACAACAACAGTAACAACATACCTGCTACAGAGCAGATGGCCTCCTCCTCCCCCCACGGTGTGACTGCTGAATTGGAACCACTGCTCTTTTGGTTAACAGCAGAACTACTTAAACCAAGGTACCACTAGAGTCTCTAGGGTCTAAGTGGCACAGCAACTTGAAAGATCAGATAAGAAATTTGGGGATCAATGAGTTCACATTAATGAGAGCGAAACCATTGGGGGAAATAGGATAAGAATGATGGTCCAACTGAAATGTAACATCGCTGCATTGTAGTGGAGAGATTGCCGAGTTGGTGAATCCTCTGGTATGGTGTATTTTTAAACAGCAATAATTAAAAAAGACAAAATGGGATAAAATTTTAAAAAGAAAGAAGATAGAATCTCTACTGTACTTGGGTTTTTCATCAACAGAGACCATCTCAATGTTTTTAGAACCAAAGCTACAATTTATCAGCGCAGAAGATCTGCTTGCCAAATAGGAAGCCTAGTGGCGCACTGCTTAAAGTCCACGAGTCAAAAGGTCAATCATTCGAACTCACCAGCCGCTTTCCAGTAGAAAGCTGAGCATCTGTTCCCATTAAGTTATAATCTTGGAAACTCTATGAATGATTCTACTTCATACTACAAGGTTGATCAGTGTAGGGACTGACTCAGTAATGTGCTTGGCATAGCTTGGTTTGCCTAATGGACTTGGTGAATTCAGAGTTTCAGCAGGTGAGTAGAGTAAAGCTTGCCACGTTGGGCTACAGAAACAGCACAAGGAAAGCTATGCGTCTACACACTGGACACCACGTTTCTCACCTTCACAGGCACAGCGTCTCTGTCCTTGACGTTCCTCGGACTGGTACTAGGAATTAAGGCTTCTGACACTGCCCTGGCATCATCTTCATTCTTCTCTTTGCCCCCCAAACAAAGAGATGGTTCTGAGCTACCACCAGAGGGCTCACCTTGAGGATTTAGACCTAAAAGGGGAGAGGTTTATATAACTCACAGATCTGAAAAAATAAGACAAATAAAAAGTAATTCCTTAGGAGAGTGTCGACGTCTTCCCAAGCTTGTTAACCCTTGTCTCCCATGGTTTGTTTAAGAACTCAATTTACCTCAAACCAATTCACACTTTCTCAAGGAAACTGTCTCCACTGCCCTAACGAAAAGACAAGATAAAAACAATTTACAAAGTAGAAGAACCTCTAAATTAAATGTTTTTAAAATGTTTCATGTAACACGTTTTCTTAGCAAAATCATTTTTCTGATCGTATTTCTATAGATTATTCTGAGATGCACTTTAGCTCTTGAACATCCGACCAGGTAGAGAGAACTATCATTCTTTGTCACCTAACCAGCACCTTAGAAACAGTCGCCCACCAGTCAGTTTGCTGTACTGTGGTGATTTGTGGAGGCAAGCAAGTTGTAATTGTTAACAACTTCAACCTCTTCTCCATCCGTCATGGTGCTGCCAACTGACTCAGTGGTGAGAATCTGTCTTCTTCATGTTGAGGTTCAATGCATACTGAAGACTCTAGTCCTTGACCTTCTGCAGCCAATGTTTCAGGTCTGCCTCACTGTTAACAAGCAAGGGCATGTGTGTCATCTGCATAACGGGGCTGTGGATGAGTCTTCCTGTAGTCCTGATGCCACTTTCCTCCTCATAAAACCCTGCGTCCCAAATAATCTGTTCTGCATATAGTTTGAAAAGGTATGGAGACAGGATGCACCCCAGACCCATACTTTACCTGATTTTGAACCATGAAGTGTTTCCTTGCTCTATTCTGAGGACTGCTGCCTGGTCCAAATATAGGTTTCATATAAGCACAATCAAGTTTTCTGGGATTCCCATTTTCCTCAAGATTAGCCACAATTTGTTGTGATCCACACAGTCAAATGCCTTTGCATAGTCAATGAAACACAGATGGACATTGCTCTGGTGCTCTCTGCTCTCTGCCACGACCCATCTGACATTGGCAATAATGTGTCTAGTGTCACAACCTCTTCTAAACGCAGCCTGTATTTCTGGTAGCTGCTGGACGTGGCTGAAGAAGGCATCTCTAAGGAGACGGTATTGGGACAAAGCCTGTAGGAGAAAAAGACCCATTCCACAAGGAACATACCAGAAAAGGAAAAGAAGTACCAAGATCTAGGATGTACAAGTTTAAGGATTATGAAATAGATGTGTGTGTGTGTGTGTGTGTGTGTGTGTGTGTGTGTGTGTTGTTTGTGTTTGTGTTCTTAGTTGCCATCCAGGGGACGAAGACTCTTAGGAACACTATGAACAATAGACCTTGCCTACCCTGTATCATCCTCTGACCTCTGCCTTCCTCAAGCCCATAGTTGTGGCCACTGTGTCAATGCAGCTCATCGAGGGTCCTCCTCTCATTGGCTGATGCTGTACCTTTCCAGTATGGTGTCTTTTCCCCAAGACTGGTCCCTCCTGGCAGCATGCTCAAAGTATAGGGACATAGTTTCACCACACCGGCTTCTAAGGAGCATGCTGGCCACAGTGCCTCTGGACAGATTTGTTTGTCCTCTTGGCAGTCCACGGGTGTACAGTACTCTGTGAATGACTGTATCTCTCTGCTGTTATCTCTAGCCTCGGCACAGCCGCTGCAGCAATGGGCTCTAGGGCGTCCGAGAGGATATGGATGGCACAGAACGGGGCAGGGTGAAGGTCTGTTGTTCGTAGGGTGACACTCGACGCGATGGCACCTAACAACAACATGTGTGCCTTACATCTACCAATAACTAGACATATGCCACTAATCCCCCCCCAAAAAAAAAGACATTTGTCTTGGAAGAAATAGAGCACAGTGCTTTTTAAAAGCAGGGATGAAGAGACTTGGTCTCACGTATGTGGGCATGTTATCAGGAAGGCCTAGAACCTGAGGAAAGACGTGATGCTTGATAAAGGAGAGGGTTATAGAAAAAGAGGAAGGCTGACGAGGAGACTGACACGGTGCCTGCAGCCATGGGTTCAAACCCAGCCATGACGGTGAGCACAGTGAGGGCCAGACAGGGTTCCGTCTGTGGGGCACAGGCTCGTTATGATCAAGAAGCGACTTGCTGATAACAAACAACATCGTACTTATATCTGTAACTATTTTTTTTTTCATTCTCACTCATGAAAAATCATGCTCACCAAGCGCTCAAAACTCCTCAAAGTGGGTCGGCCTGTGCCCCTGCAGTGACACAGCACAGCAGCAATTCCTTCCATGCAATGAAGAAGAAAAACCAATTAGTATAGAGACGATAATCAGATTGTCCACTGTCTGCCCAACAGGTTGTTTGGGGCTTTCAGTGTGAGTCGAAAGGTCAAGTGCACATTAGACCAGCAGCTCGTGACTCATCTGAGGGAGTCTGGGAGGACAATGGGGAATTTAATTTTCTC